TCCACATTTCAGGCTTCAAACATAAAGATATATATAAAAAAATGTTTTTGTCATGAATCAACAAGTGGGACACAATCGTGAAGTGGAACGAAATTTATTGGATAATTTAAACTTTTTTAACAAATAAACTGAAAAGTGGGGCGTGCAATATTATTCGGCCCCCTTACTTTCAGTGCAGCAAACTCACTCCAGAAGTTCAGTGAGGATCTTTGAATGATCCAATGTTGTCCTAAATGACTGATGATGATAAATAGAATGCACCTGTGTGTAATCAAGTCTCCGTATAAATGCACCTGCTCTTTGATAGTCTCAGGGTTCTGTTTAAAGCGCAGAGAGAACCATGAAGACAAAGGAACACACCAGGCAGGTCCGAGATACTGTTGTGGAGAAGTTTAAAGCCGGATTTGGAAACAAAAAGATTTCCCAAGCTTTAAACATCTCAAGGAGCACTGTGCAAGCTATTATACTGAAATGGAACGAGTATCAGACCACTGCAAATCTACCAAGACCCGGCTGTCCCTCCAAACTTTCATCTCAAACAAGGAGAAGACTGATCAGAGAAGCAGCCAAGAGGCCCATGATCACTCTGGATGAACTGCAGATAACTACAGCTGAGGTGGGAGAGTCTGTCCATAGGACAACAATCAGTCGTGCACTGCACAAATCTGGCCTTTATGGAAGAGTGGCAAGAAGAAAGCCATTTCTCAAAGATATCCATAAAAAGTCTCGTTTAAAGTTTGCCACAAGCCACCTGGGAGACACACCAAACATGTGGAAGAAGGTGCTCTGGTCAGATGAAACCAATATCGAACTTTTTGGCCACAATACAAAACGATATGTTTGGCGTAAAAGCAACACAGCCTATCACCCTGAACACACCATCCCCACTGTCAAACATGGTGGTGGCAGCATCATGGTTTGGGCCTGCTTTTCTTCAGCAGGGACAGGGAAGATGGCTAAAATTGATGGGAAGATGGATGGAGCCAAATACAGGACCATTCTGGAAGAAAACCTGTTGGAGTCTGCAAAAGACCTGAGACTGGGACGGAGATTTATCTTCCAACAGGACAATGATCCAAAACATAAAGCCAAATCTACAATGGAATGGTTCACAAATAGACGTATCCAGGTGTTAGAATGGCCAAGTCAAAGTCCTGACCTGAATCCAATCGAGAATCTATGGAAAGAGCTGAAGACTGCTGTTCACAAACGCTCTCCATCCAAACTCACTGAGCTCAAGCTGTTTTGCAAGAAAGAATGGGCAAGAATTCCAGTCTCTCGATGTGCAAAACTGATAGACATACCCCAAGCGACTTGCAGCTGTAATTGCAGTAAAAGGTGGCGCTACAAAGTATTAGCGCAAGGGGGCCGAATAATATTGCACGCCCCACTTTTTTATTTGTTAAGAAAGTTTAAATTATCCAATAAATTTCGTTCCACTTCACGATTGTGTCAACAAATTTAATTTTTATATCTTTATGTTTGATGCCTGATGTGGCAAAATGTTGAAAGGTTCAAGGGGGCTGAATACTTGCGCAAGACACTGTATGTACATATACAGTATATCCTGATATATGTGATGAATATATTTAAATACTATTAGCTTTTACATGCAAAAGAAGCGACACATGAAGTCATTTGAGCGCCTGGTCCTCCCCCACCTCAAGTCCTTCACCTCCCCCCTCCTGGACCCCCTGCAGTTCGCCTACAGAGCCAACAGATCTGTAGACGACGCCATTAACCTGGCCCTCCAGTCCATCCTACAGCATCTGGATTCCCCGGGGACCTACGCCATGGTCCTATTCATGGACTTCAGCTTTGCTTTCAACACCATCCTGCCATCCCTGCTCCAGGACAAGCCAGTTCAACGTGCCCGATTCCACCTGCAGGTAAATCACTTACTTTCAGAAGCAGCGAGTGCGTCTGTCTCGGACTCCCGGATTATAAACTCTGGAGCCCCGAAGGGCTGTGTTCTTTCTTCCCTGCTCTTCTCCCTGTACACCAACCACTGCACCTCCAGCCATGATTATCTGAAGCTGATCAAGTTCGCGGACGACACCACCCTCATTGGACTCATCTCCAACAACGATGAGTCCGCCTACAGGAGGGAGGTGGACCGGCTGGTGTCCTGGTGCAGTGGTAACAACCTGGAGCTGAACGCCCAGAAGATAGTGGAGATGATTGTGGACTTCAGGAAAAGCACAGTCCCCCCGCCCCCACCCTCCCTGATGGACTCCCCCATCACCTCGGTGGAGTCATATCGTTTCCTGGGCACCACCATCGCCCAGGACCTCAAGTGGGAGCCGACCATCAGCTCCCTTACCAATACGGCCCAGCAGAGGATGTACTTCCTGCGGCAGCTCAGGAAAGCCAAGCTGCCTGCACAGATGTTGGCCATTATTGATAGGGGAAACCAGAGCACCCGGAGGAAACCTACGCCATCATCGATTCCATCCTCACCTCCTCCATCACCGTGTGGTTAACTGGAGCCACAGTCAGGGACAAACAGAGACTACAGCGCATTGTGCGCTCTGCAGAAAAGGTGATACGCCGCAGCCTCCCATCGCTGCAGGGCTGGTCGTATCACAGCCGACCCCTCTCACCCTGCACATGGACTATTCCAACCACTCCCCTCAGGCAGGAGGCTACGGTCCATCAGGACCAAAACCTCCCGCCACAAGAACAGTTTCTTCCCCTCTGCTGTTGGACTCTTGAACACTTCTTGACCTGTCACCCCGCCCTTTATAAAGTCACTTTACTGCTTGTCACCTTATTGCACAGCCTACTGCATATTGTACATAGTAATTGTAATTGTAATAATTCTATTTTAATTTTATTCCTTATATGTATGCTGATTTTTATCATGCCTTACCCTATTCTCTATTCTTTACGTCTCTTTTCTTACTGATGCACCAAGCCAAAGCAATTTCCAAGTCTGTGACTTCCTGTTACTTACGTGGCAATAAAAATTATTCTGATTCTGGTATTGAAGATATTCGACTAGCATCTGCTGTCAAAAAAATAGCGTTAGCTTGAACACAACATTAGCTAACTGTCAACTTGTGATTCGTGGATAAATTTAAAGGCGCTATACCCGTTTCTGCAATGTTTGAATGTTTAGCACCGCCCCCCAACTCACTCAATGGCTTCTTATTTCCCCTACGCTCTCATAACACAGAGCCACCTAGTTTTATTTGCGATCTGATAAATATGCTAACATTAGCATTAGCGCAACTTCTTGTAAGCTGTGCAACAATCACCGATGAAATGGCACTAAAGCAACGCACTGCTAACACAATATATAAGTAAAAGAATACCGCTAGTTTTGCGTCCGAATGTATTAATTTAAAACCTTAGAATATATTCTAATATTGAATTATAATTTGTTATAGAGCTCCTCAAAGCAGCAGCAGCAATTCTTCCGATAATTTTTTCTTGATAACAGAACTCTCAAACCAATAATGACCGAAGCCCCAATGCAACCTCTGTTTGTAATTCAGGTGTGTAAAATACTGCCATTACTCCGCAAGTACAAGCTATCAGCACCTGTCACTATCACTCGTCTGTGTAGAGAAGCCAACGGAGCTAGCGGAGCTAGCCACGCTCAATAAACAACTACATATCTATCAATCAACACCATTAAACGTCAATCGGACAATACAGTACACATATACATCCTTAACACACATGCACGGATGATTTCAGAATTTGCTGTTAACGTTTTCATAACAAAAATACTGTTTCAAAGTGACAAAAAGCGATTGCGAAAAACCCGGAAGTTACCATGAAACAACTAGCTAGCTTAGCTGTTACCTGCCTAGCACGTCCCGGTGAAACCTTTGGGAGCTAACTCTTTTATTTGCAGTCATTAAATACATTTCGAATTACAAGGGTTGTCTAATATTTGTTCACATTTTTTTATTCAATTATTTTGTTCATTTTTTATTTTAGAATTTATATTCGAATTTTGAAGTCGAAGCCCTGGTGTTAAGCAGCGCTGTAGGGGCTAGAGGACGCAGGCTGGTCGCTGCTCGTTCTGTGAGCGGAGGAGAAAGAGCGGCCCGCTCAGACTCTACTCAGCACTTTTCACTGCTTGTAATTCTTACACAGCTGAATCAATTACCTCAAGTTTTCAATTAAATGATGTATTATGATACAACTTGTATGTAGTAAAAAGCATTTTTATGAACTACTTAGAAAAAAAATCGGGTATAGCTTCTTTAACTTAGCTAACTTTACTACGTTCTAACAGCTGATACAAAACACTCACAAGGACACACTATATCCCTATTTAACATCATAACACAGCTGGGGAAAATATAAATGATCTTTGACAATGTACTCACTGTTAAACTCGCAGAGAATGCCGTTAGCCCTGAGTGTCAGTTTGCTGCGCGTGGGAAATGCGGTTGGTGGCGTCCACAGTGTGGTTCACATGCGAATCTCCACGGATCCGCTCAGTGGTTCTGACTGGTGCGGATGTGGCTGATCAAAGGCGGATCCACCCCGGAGTCTGTTGCATTCAGGGTATGGTGACGTATGTGGAGGATTTAGGTTAACGTGTAGTATGTGCCTCTGTAAACCAGCTATGAAACCAGCAGATATTGCCAATGGCACATTTCTTTAAGAGCCAACGAAATTAGCGCCTACCGCTGTTTCCAATCGGACAAAAATATGGGTGCACAGCCAACTTCCCGTTGCGCCAAATCGAAAACACAAAATCAAATCGGCCTGAAACCATTATTTAATATTTATTTTATTCATTTTCTGCATCAAAATCGTCTTTCCGATTCCTCATCAAAATTAAAAATGAATATTCAAATCAATTTTAAGCTATTTTTGTTTTCAATTTGAATTGGAAAAAACCATTGAACGGATAATACACAGACCGTTAACAGATGGAATAACCATTTGCATCATCTAAATGTGTGTGCGTGAGTGTGTGTGTGCATACAGTATGTGTGTGAGAGAGAGTGTGTGTGTAGAACAGCATGCCTCACCACAGAGAAGGCAGCACAGGCCATGGCACTCAGACTCAGGTTGATCTTGGTCACTTCTGTGAACTTCTTGCTCCTATCCACGTACAGACCGAGCACCCCCGCCCCCACCACCCCCCACACAATGAAGAGCGCCCCACATTGACCCGAAAAGTCCTGCAATCAAAGAAAGAGACAAGGAGCAGACACACTGTTAGTTATAACAGTAAGTCATTAGTGCTGTCCAAAAATTAATTTGTTGATGTTTTTTTTTATGTCATAGTTAACTCACGATTTATCGCAAATTTGTAACTATTCTTCAAGTCCCTTGAATTATCATTTTAATACTCTTATCAATGTGGAAAAGTGAATTGCACTGTGCAATTGTTTTTAATGGACACCGTTGTAGGGTAATATTCAGGGGTGCACATAAGTGGTACGCAGGTACGCATGCGCGACCAATATCAGCACGCGGACCCTAGTCACATGGACAGAACCATGGAGTCCCGGACAGAACCATCTTCGCGGTCCTTGACTCATGTTCAGGACCAGCTCCTGTTTCTCCCCGTGTCTCTCTCGTGTCTCTTGCCGAAGCACAAAACTACTGAATTTAAAGCTCGGATACCTAAATTTCCCCCATGCATTAAAAATGCATGTTATTTGTGCAAAAAGTAAAATGTTGTGAACAAATCAAACAGAACACACAGCAGGGCCCTCCGAGTCATTATTTGACTTTTTGGGCTGAGAGTGGATTTTTTAATGTTTTTTTCCCCCACAGCTATTGCCACTTTATTCCCAAATTCTTGTTAACTCATTGTATTGAGCAATATTAAACCAAGCTTAATGTCAAGGCCTGCATTCAAGCACTTTGATAAGAATGACTTTATATTGTAAATATAGGCTACAGAGTATATATTTTTACATTTTCTCCTGGTGGTGTGCCGCAAGATTTTTTCAATTAAAAAAAGTATGCCTTGGCTCAAAAAAGGTTGAAAAACACTGCTCTAGGGGGTGCTTTGCCAGTGTGACAGAGCGGGTCTAGCTACGTGCACGACTATAGTATTATACTAAAGGCTGACTTTCATGCCGCACGCGCCACACACAGACTGGCACACACACACACGCCATTCCACACTCGTGCACCCTTTTTTCACCCGTTCCATTCATACGTAACATCCACACGTATCATCCATTCTCTCGTCCGCCTCTCCCATCAGTTACTAGTCCACCAAAGGTGCACACTTGTGCGGGTCAGAAATGCATTCACAATTTTTTTGTACTCTGGGAGTATAGAAAAAAAACCCACCTAAGCACTGGACTCCGAGCTCGCCTGTTTTATCAAACAGAACATTGTTTAATTTTTTGTTTTGTTTAGCATTTTTAGGAAAGACCCCTGTGAGTCATTATTTGACTTGGATTGAGTGGATTATCTAAGCTGATCTCTTAGCATTAAAAAGAAGCAAGTATAAAATCTAGATTAAGAACCACGCGACAAATGGAGTGAGTACCAAACACCATCTCCTGGTGCACCTCCTCCATCACTGTGTGGTTCGCTGGAGCCACAGTCAGGGACAAGCAGAGACTACAGTGCATTGTGCGCTCTGCAGAGAAGGTGATCGGCCGAAGCCTCCCCTCGCCTGATCTCGAGGCCCTCTCACCCCGCACATGGACTATTCCAACCACTCCCCTCAGGCAGGAGACAACGGTCCATCAGGACCAGAACCTCCCGGCATAAGAACAGTTTCTTCCCCTCTGCTGTTGGACTCATGAACACTTCATAATCCATCACTGTTACTTTACTGCACTCTGCCGCACTCTTATATCTATTGTGTACACCTAGTGCACTTGTATATGGTAAACTGAAGAAATTTGGGGCGACAGTAGCTCAGTTGTTAGAGCAGTGGCCTTTGAGCCTGGAGGTCGTGAGTTCGATTCCCACCATGGGACCTACTCCAACTGCTCCCACTGATGTCTACTGTCGTTGTGTCCTTGGGCAAGACACTTAACCCCACGTTGCCTGAAGCCCCCGCTGAAAGACCAAGGCTGTTTCACCACTGACATCTTCCTGTGGACTCCCCCCCTGCAGAGGATCAGCGAGGGACTGGTGCTATGAGCATTGGGTGGCAGCTCTCATTGCCACCCCCCTGACCCAGAAATGGACAATAAAGGGCTTGAAAATGAATGAATGAAAGAAATTTTTGTGGATTTTTATTCATGCATGCCTTCTTGTTTTTATTCTGCCTTAAAAGGAGCAGTATGTAAAAATCTGGCCAAAGGTGGTACTGCAGTCACAGTCAATATTATGTAGTCCTCTCCCACTCTCCCCGACTCAGGTTGCCAGATACACACCAAATCCAGCATCAAACAAATTGAATTATTCTATCAGTTGTTTTGTCTATCTCCATTCACATTGCCATGATAGCCGTGCTAATGTTGAATAAATGTTTTGAATGAACGTTTTATCTTTATTTTTCATTTGGACATTTGAGACAATAAAAGACGAACTTGAGACGAAATAAAAGCAATGTAATTATACATAGATTTTGCTAAATAAATAAGCAATTGATGTCCAAAATAGGAGTGGGAAGAGTGAATGTTGGAACATATTTCTTCAGCGTATCAACATCAGTGTTTCCTCCAGAGGATATCACCCTTCACTTTGACTTAATCCCTATTTTTTAGACATACGTGTATAAGTCCCACATCAAAAAGTTAGTTCAATTTTTTTTTGCTGATAAACGATTTAAATGAGTGTCCAATAGTGTTGTCTACATATCCTGGTCATAATTTTGTCACTTTGGTGCAAATTAGTTGAAAGTTAAACTTTCTGCCTAAAACGTCTGTGAGGCGCCATCTGCTGGCGACCTGTATTACTACATTTGAATTTTGAATCTGGCGCCAACACTGGCGCGGCAGCAAGACCTGACGTCTGAAGCAAGACCTGACGTCAGCAGCCCCCCGCCCAGAGCAATGTAAACGGCCCAGTCTCGTTCACGCCCCCTTTAGTCCTCCAGGCTACGCCCATTTAGAGGAAGATTTGAACAGGAAATGTGAGTGACATAAGCTCCGAGGAGCGGGGGTGAGAACCACTTTAAGCTTTAATCTGTGTTCTGATGTTCTGATCTTCGTCTTTAACCGTTTTTTGAGCAATCTGTCGGGGAAAGTGATATTATGCAACAGACCCTGCCCGGATTCGAACCCGGGTCGCCAGACCTCTAGATCACCATCGCACGCGATAGAAAGTAGAAACCAGAAAGTTTTGCATCACACGAAAAGTTCATCAGCTAACTCAATTTTTCAAAGGCGTCTCGATATAAATCCTCGTTTTAGTCTTGTTTTGTCATTAATGATTTGAGAGTCATAACAAGACCTTTTTTAGTTTATGTTATTTTACCAGTGAAGATTAGCTAGCCGCGCGGAGTTCTGGCAACCCGATCACGGACTTCCATGAAACTTCCTGATTGGCGAAACAACAAAGGGTAGGACATCAAAATGAAAAAAATAACAACTTTTTACATTAGTAAAACTAATTTTGATATTCAAATATCTCGGATGAACTGCTGTTATCAGTTAAATATGTATTCGAAAAGAGCATGATTTAATAACGCCTTTTGAAGTATTGGGGCCATTTAATGACGACTTGACATGCAAATATTACATATTGCTACTTTAACTTGTTTTCACCGAGAGCCAAAGCAATTTCCTAGTTTGTGACTTCCTGTTACTCACATGGCAATAAAAAGGATTTTGATTCTGAGGAAAATTTCTGCGTAGCCCACGTTTAATCTTGTTTAGTCTGCAGTACAGCGAGAACCCCCCAATATACCCGGGGTTTATTCTGGCCTAGGCTATTTTAACCCCCCTTAGGCCAGATTAACCCCCCCTTGTTTTATCTAATAATAATAAAATATACGTTATTGAATATATTTTTTAAACTTAAATATTATTTTAAATCATTTAGAAGTAGTTTGTTAATTAATTACTGCAGCGCGAATAAGTGTGATTGCTTTTCACACTTTGTTTGTGAGGCGATGACTCCATGTATCTACTTATCACATGTTTCATGTGATAACTCATCTTATGGTGCTTTCAGACCGGATTGTGCGTTGCGTCGACTTCCAATGCAAAGTCAATGGTAACATGTATGTGCATCTCGGGATGCATGCACGGACTGCACGGTCGAGGTGCAGGAGCAGAAAATCAACGCACGCAGGAGATAAATATTGCTGAGCGTTTCCTCATGTGCAGCGACCAATCAGAGAGCCGCAAAGTGGTCACGAGGACTGAGCGAGCAGACTGAACATACTGTAAACAGCCAAAACAGGAGCTACATCAGGACTAAACCAGCAGTAAACCAGGACTAAAACCAGGACTGAACCAGGACTAAACCAGGACTAAACCAGGACTAAAACCAGAACTAAACCAGGGTTGACAATGGGGGACTTGGGAACATATGCATTTTCATGCTCCTGTGACTTTATGCAACTGCTTCGAGCGTATTCACCGATGCAGAAGAACCGCTAAATAATAAAATTCACTTATGGCGCACCTCTGTGAACACATACTGCTGTTCTATAAAGTCTGAGGGTCTCTGAACACAGAGACACTGCATTATTGGAGAAGAACTTTGCACAAAAAGCCGCTGGCTTAACTTCGTTAACATTAAAGTCCGCCCGCTACTTCCGCCATTTCCGGGTGCCAACGCTGGCCAGGACTTCTGGTGTGAACACCCCTGCGTCTGAAAATTAGAGAATGTGCGTCTGGTGCGCGAGGCGTCAGCGTTCCAGTGTCGGCGGTGTGAAAGCACCTTTAGAACTTTTGAGTAAACATTAATTATGGGCAAATGACACCAATGCTCCAGAGCTTGTGTCGCTCTTTCCGAAGCAAACTGCTTCGAAACACTGCATTGGAGCGTGTATCAAAACAACTGGTCACGTGACAAACATGTCAGTGTCTCAGACTCTGCAGCCGCTGCTTCACTGCGCATATCAGCGGTGTCTGTGTTGAAGAGTCTCATTGGATCATGGAAGAGTTACATCTGGCTTCCTTGGTGTGACTGCTGATGCGTCAACTGTTGTTTTTGAATAAAAAAAACTGATGTATGCATAGAGTGCAGTCCTTTTTTTCTGTAAATTGTTTTATATTTAAATATACTTGTATTCAATATAAGGATTCCTTAAAAATGGGCATGTTGCTGTATGGTTCTGTAAAGTACAGTACGGGAGTATTAGGAGATTCCTATAGTTTTATATAGAATAGTTTATTTCATAAATCATATCTTTTCCTAAATGTATTTAGTAAGAAATAAATAAATATAATATTGCTTGTATTTTATTGTTCTTATATAAAAGGAAAGGAGGGATTAATCTGGCCTATGGGGAGTTGAAATAGCCTAGGCCAGTTTATACCCCGGGGTCTATTCTGGCCTAGGCTATTTTGACCCCGGGGTGTAATCTCGCCTAGGCTACTTTAACCCCGGGTATATTCTGGTGGAGGGTTAAACTGGCCTGCTACACCGGAGGTCTCTGATATTTTCTCATGGAAAGCTAGTTTTTCATGGCAAAAATTGCAGAGAGCTGTTCCTTCAAGTGGTTTAAAAGAGTCAATGCTGTAAAATGACGGCCGTCTGCCATTTGTTAACCTCTGAACCTTTGAACACCAAATCCCACAAGCGGTATGTCATTTTAAATCTTATTTTCTTATCTACATTTATAAGTGTAAACTATATCAGACTTTGATATAACACATAATATGGGCACAAAATAAATCACTTCTAAAGAAGTTTTTTACCTTTTGGCCTTGTGCTCCATAAATAAATCAGATCTCTTCCCAGCTTTCTATAGCTCTTTCACTCCGTAAATGTCCAAGGAAAAAGAATATCCACTTGAATTTTTCAAAGTATAATCCATTCTGGAGAAATAATCCAACAATGTGCGTTTATCTTTTGCGAAAATAACGTTCTGAAAAAACAAATAGGCTGCTTTATGACTGTTAGTGGAGTTTCAGCTTTGTTTTTCACCCAAACACAGGGTATGCTCCTGTTCTCCAACTCGTTAGCTACAAAATGAGACCTTCCCTGAGGAGATACGCGCCCGCGTTCGTCTGCAACACCCCTGTGAATAAAACAAGCGGCCACCTTTTGCGCATGGTCCATCTGCATTTGTTGTTTGCCAGATGGCAAGGGAAGTGTTCTTTAGCCGAATGATTGAAATGTCTAAGAAGTCAATAGGGAAAGCTTTCTAGCAATGGGTGGGACATGGGGGAACTGAGAGCTGTTCGGAGCAGCACATATTTTATATGCATTTACACTGCTAACAAATGAACTTTAAAAAATGTTTTTAACAAATCACACAGATTAGTTACTTATAAGTACCAAAAATAAAAAATATGGTTTTCATGATGATTGAGGACAATAAATGTCAGTAAAGCAATTTGGCACGAAGTCTGTCAAATTGGTTCCGAATGGCACTACTTGATGAAAAAGAGAAACTTGATGAAAAAGAGAAACAACACAATGACCATAGGGTTTGAATATTGTGATCTTACAATTAAGTATGCCTGTTTTAGTGCCTTTAGAAATTGAATGTTTTAGGCTAAAAAAAAACTGTTTCCCCCCCCAAATTTCAAAGGATGCAGAGGGAAATAGGAATGACATACATTATTTTTGTGTATATTTACAAAAACTAGAAGGCTCTAGCTTTAATAGGATGCATCACACAAGCATGTGACATGTGAGATGTGTTTTTAAAGAAGCAAAGACATTTGGGTATGCCCAACTTTTGTGCCAAAGTCAAAATGAGGCAGGTGTTAAAGAGGTTAACAGGGTTTGAGTTTCCATGTGCTGTTTCATTACCATGGGGGTGAGGCAGGACATGTCTTAATTATGTTTAGGCCTAGCTCATCAGATTTGCTTCTTGGCCTCAGCCCTGCCATGGCTGTGTATGCTGGTCCTGGCTCCTCTGGTTGGTCATTGTGGTTTCAGATTAATCATTTACGCTCTGTCTCTGCTCTTGTCTCTTCTTAACGCTCCGCACAGGTGCCTTGTACTTCACTTGTCATTCTCTTTACTCCGCATTTGTTATACTTCATTACAAGTCCCTGTGCAGTATTATCGGAACATACGTGTGGTGGAGGAACATTTGTTTACATTTCAGCGCTATCATGTGAAAATGTAAAATAATAATCCAGTAATTTCTCAAAATAAAGTATGGTTTAGAGTCAGATAATAAATATGGAAATTCTTTATTCTTTCCATGGTGGCCCAGTTCGCATGTCCCACGGCCCGGCACCAGGGGTTGGGGGAGACTGCTTCATAGGATGTTAGAGGGATGTATTCATAGTGAAAGCCAGTATATGTAGACCACCTCCATCGTTTCCGTTCAATGTTGATAAGGCCACATTTTCTGGTGCAATCAGGTTCCCCTATGAAGACCACAGGATTTATGTCTGCTATTTGCAGCTTATGTTCTCCTGTTGGTTTCATCAAACCAGCAGCTCTAACCTGCACTGGGACGGTTTAAGCCAGGTATTAAGAAAATGTGCAAACTGAAAGCATGGGTTCTTGTAGTCTCCGGACGTGGAGAAGTATGGCGTCAAAATAGGGTCTGCTTAAAGGGCCCATATCACGGTTTTTGACTTTTCTCTGCTTTAAACATGATTACAATGCTATTTGGCCTTCATACACAAGCCCACAGTAGTTTATTCATCGATTCTGTCAATCTTTTGTAAGAGAGCAATCTGTCTCCTTCCCCAGCGTGAGGCACAGAAACGCTCGGGTCCGCTTCAGTGACGAAAACCACACTGATGACGCGCATGATGCGCATGACCCCGTTTGCTTTGTATTTAAAATAGTTGTTAAATATTTTTGTCAAAACGGGGTAAACAATACACAATTAGTATGCTGTTTTTTGTCAAAAATAATAAAAATAAAAATAAATTAAAAGCCGGCGGGAGGTGATTAACGGATCAAAACAGCGAATCAGAGCGCACAGGCTCCGGCTCCCGAGTCCAGCGTCTGTGGTCTGGTCTCGCGGACACCACATAGAGCTGCTGTTTTTATGCTTTTGTCAGCAACTAAAAGTGTTAGGATCACGTCAACTTGAATGAAGTGTGTTATGGGTGTAAATATGTGACACACTATTTGGCCCTAAGAGGAAGAAAGCGGCTCGACTTTTTTCATCTGTTCATCTCGTGGATCTATTATAATACCGGTTCATCTGCGACACTTCACTGAGACTGTTCCAGAACTACAGGGACAATGGAACTGGACTTACTCAAAAGCTGATCTGGAAACACGTTATTCCCACGTAAAAGACGTAACTCGTACCCCCTTGATCTGTAAGTAGTGACGCTAACTCGCTGTATACTTCTGTAAACTAAATAACTAGGGTCTGATTGTGCATCGAGGACATAGGGCTCGATGTGACGGATTGTCATTGTTGGAAAAAGTTTATTCTTATGTATGAAATTACTAAGTACAGGTGATAAACGACAAAAGCGTGATGCTACGTCACTGTGCGGGCGGGGGGAGGCGGGCTCACAGGCAGAGGAGCAGACTCTTCTCTGGATCAGCTCGTTTGAGTCGAGGTGACGTCACCGCTATACAAGAGATGGCTATAATCTCACAAGCTTTGATTGTTGTGTGGTGTATCATACACATTAATCTAGTAATTAGTCTGCAAATTAAGTGCTAGCTATATAGCCTATGACATCGGCCACCTGTAGCAATACTTTTAGTTCTGTGCCGATCAAATAAACATATAATAGCACTTATTCTTACAGAACAGTGGGTTGTAGATAGGAGTAAATGGCCGTCTGTTACCTGGCCTAAAATCTATAACTTCCTCATTCAGACATCCAATGTTTATACTTGACTGACCTCCTCCAGATCTCCACACATGCCCGCTCCCTCCGCTCCTCCTATCCTCTCCAGCTCTTGGTCCTTCCTGCCCACCTTGTCACCATGTGGAATAGAGCCTCTCCACATCCACCCTCAAAACTCATCTGTTTAGACCATAGACTGTATATATTAATGGACAGAGTCACGCCTATCTCTGCCGTCCTAACTAATGGGCCAAAAAATGTGCTCTACTGGAGCAATCCAAAATGGCCGCGAGTGGTCCCGCCCACAACAAAATTGTGAAAAAACGCATCTGCGCATGTGTCAGCCGGTGTTCTGCCGAGTTGTGCCGCTCTGCCGAGTTGTGACGCTTATGTAATGCTCAGCTGTTAATGATGTAATGCAAACCTGCGCATGCGCGGCAGCCGAAACAAACCAAGATGCCGGACAGAAAGTCAGAGAATTGCTTTAAAAGTTATAATACGAACGAAATAAGACACGAATGTCACTTTTAATGCAATTTGAGGCCAGATGTTAATGGTTCCGTGTTGGCACATGTGGGTTTTAAAAGTCAAAGTTTCGGGTAAAGATTAGTTTAAGCAGTCAACTGCACCTATGAAACCATTATGCTAATGTTATGAGAGCAGTCCGCGGGTGCTGACGTAGGCTGATGAAGCGTCCTGTGGCAACTCTACAGCTTACAACTGGATGAATGTTGATAATGGAAATAATAAATTTAATTTAATGCAGCGATCACCTGCAGCAGCACAGCTTGTGGACCGCACACTTTTCTGTCAGTTCAGTTAATAATTTTCATGGGATGAATTCAAAGTTGCAAAAAAAAAAAATATGGCCATTTGGATATATAGTGAAACTTTTACTGTCAAGACTCTGCTGCAGCTGATCCATGACAACAACCACAGGATTATTATCACCAGTAACCACAGAGATTACATGCCATGGCCATGTTGTCCTTTGAAATGTAATTAATTCGTGGATTGATGAATTTTGACTAGTTTCCCAGATGAAAGATCGGGTGCATCCTTTCTATTAAAGAAATGAACAACACTGGTGAGTAACATTTCAATTGGAACCAATCAAAGGTTTTTTCATGGGCTTTATGTTAGGCTGTGCATAAAAAATGGGCTGTGGTATTGAATTGAATTTGTGTAGATTTTCCTGCTAAAGGATGTAAAGTTCCCGCATTGATGTCAAGCTTTAAATACAAGAGAAAACACGTTTGTAGTTTTTTTGTGTGGATCAATCAAGTCTGTTTAAGTCTGAAGGCTGTAAACTAAGTGTATTTTTAGAAATGTAGGAATTGTATTGACTTTGATTGGTTAGGCCCAACCAGGGACAGGAGTTGTGAATTGGCATCTGCTATAAACTATATTCATCACATCAGCTGCAAGCTTTGTTTATGACTGTGTCTGCATTGTCCCTGTCAAATAAATATATTGATAATGTTGAAAGAGCGTGGAGACTTCATTTTGAGAAATCAATTCATTTAACAAATATCAGGCACATCCAAAGCACACAATACATTGTATATCTTTCAAAACACAAATCTGAGAGGAACACTTAAACACATGAAATGCAAAACAACACAGAACCATTGATCCATAAGGAGCAAAAATGTCCATAAATGTTGTAGAATGTTAAAGTGTCCTGGATCATCACCAGTCCTTTAGTTAGACACTTAACTGTCTAACAGACCCTCCTACATCGGCAAGGAAAAACTCTAAAACCCAGTGGGAAAAAAGTGAGAAACCTTGAGGGAGACCACATTGAGAAAGGGATCCGCTCCTCACGGACGGACAGGCTATAGATCCAGAACCTAAGCTACAGAACATGGACCAGGGCGCAGGGCGGGACTGGGGCAGCAGAACGAGGACTGAGGCAGCTCCCAGGCAGGGGTGCAGCCCACGAGTCGGGCTGAAGGAGGACAGTCAGCAGGTGCAAATGGTCTCGTTGTCACACCATGAAACAGACAAAGGGACAAAACATTTCAGTACATTATAGTACACTACGCAAACAGCAAATTACAATAATTAACATACGTGTCCAATTCCACAGGAGTCTCAGATTTGTGGAGTTGGTTAGCTGGTGCTCGGGACGACTGGGAGCCAGGTCATTCCTGCATGTGATGTGCTCAGGATACGCGAAGAGTTCACAGATCCTGAAGGCCAGTGCGTTGGCTTTCTGTCCTGGTCAGCCTCTGTAATAATATATGATTAAGTTATTGTACTGTAATGTTTGTACAGTGTTATTTCTTTACCAAGTGTTGGCTTTGCTGTTTGCTTTCCTTTGATGTACTTTGGGTTGGAACTTTGAATAAAGACTGCCCTTTTGAAGAATCTTGCCCACGTTTGACATTTTCATTTAAGTGAATTCCTGCCCAAAAAAGCCTGCAAAAAAAAGTTTCAATGTTAACAGGATTTGTATTCTTAATTATTACAAAGAATAACGCTTCAGCTGTGATGTCTGGTGCTCGGAGACGGGTTTCTGCACATCTTTAGGCAATCAGTTGTTCATTTAGCTCTTCTTTGTACAATGGGGCTTACCCTGAGAAAACAATGAATTTGGTTACAAGAGAAATGTTTTGACTTGCGTGTGACAATCAGTGACACTGTAGTCCGTTTCAAGACTTTTTCCATGTAAAAACTCCCTCCTACCTCATTGCTCTAAGGAAACACAAAAGTTTTAATTTATAATGAAAATACAATAAATTGTGTAATATTTACTACTAGACATACCTGTTCTGTTTGTATGTCAAGCACCTTCTCACTCTCAAGTTCCATTGGTGTGTAGCTGTCACATTTGGCAGTGTCCTAAAAGCATTGGAAAAACGTTAGATGCAAAGTAACAAATATTACTGACATTACTATCCCTACCTGGTGAATCTGCTATTTTTCCCTTCTTCAAATCCTCCAAAAGCCTCTTGATTTTTCCTCCACTTGTTTTCGATTGGTGGGTCAAGAAAGTGCCATGATTGTCTCCTAAATAAAATAAGGTATAATTTGTCCCGCAGTGGGAAAATGTGATTGTTACAGTATTTACTTACTACTTATTTACAGACGAGATGACATGTACAGGCTCAGCAGTTCTCACAGTACAGTCTGACAGCGGCAGGAAGGAAAGACCTGTGCAACCTCTTCTTCACACATAGAGGATGAATAACTCTCACTGAAGCTGCTCTCCAGAGCAGAGTGTCCTGCAGGGGGTGACAGTCATGGTCCCCCACCTGCTGCACTGGGAACAGCCCATGACTGAGCTGAACTTACTGATGACCTTGTCCAGCTTCTTCCCCCTTTGTGATGCTGTTGATCCAGCAGACCACTCGGAACAAGAACACCATTTCTTTGGTCTTCCCTGCATTGATGAGGAGGTGGTTCCTCTCTTTGGTCGGTTTATGAGGAGATGTTTCCTCTCTTTGGTCTGTTGATGCGGAGGTGGTTTCTCTTTGGTGTTCTAATAATAATAATATAATAATAATAATAACAATACATACTTATACAGCACTTTTCTGGACACTCAGACGCTTTACAGAAGAAAAATAAGAAGCGTTTGTTTCACTAAATATCGATGTATCTAAGCCCCTATCAAATCACAGGATGAATTTCGCTGATAGAACGTTAAAACAATCAAAATATATGCCATTTGAAAACGGAGAGCCATACTCACGTGTGTTTTCAGCTTCGGGTAGAAGAGAAAACAAGTCTGATTTGAGCATGCGCAAAAAAGGACGTACGTCAGCTGCCGAGGACTGCTATCATAACATAAGCAGTGTGGCGCAGTTGACTGCTTAAACTAAACTTTACCCGAAACTTTGATTCTTAAAACCCACATGTGCCAACACGGAACCATCAACATCTCGCCTCAAATTGCATTAAAAGTGAAATTCGTGTCTTATTTCGTTCGTATTATAACTTTTAAAGCAATTCTCGGACTTTCTGTCCGCCATCTTGGTTTGTTTCGGCTGCCGCGCATGCGCAGGTTTGCATTACATCATTAACAGCTGAGCATTACATAAGCGTCACAACTCGGCAGAGCGGCACAACTCGGCAGAACACCGGCGCAACTCCATTCATTTGAACGAGAGACTTAAAAAATTCACAGCAAGTAAACTAGAGTGGACCAAAAATATCCACCCCCCTCAGCATTGACACACATGTGGAACGGAGCTTTGGGCCAAGACCCAACTTTTGGTCCATCCTGTAAAGACGTTTTTGAGAGGTCTGCCAATGCTATATGTTAGCATTGGCTAATTCTACTTCTGGGTCCACCCCCATCGGCTCGGGGTGGTATTACAAGCATGTCAGCGCACGTCATTTTGGCCACTTTTGAGCTGGGACCCTCCCCCACTGGTTTAGACAAGCCCACTCACTAACATCATAACCACACTCTCCTCTCTCCATGATGCTTTTAACTTTGTATTTTAATTTTAAGGGGTCAGATGAAAAATGTATCGTAAGCGTAGGTTTTCACTGGTAAACGTAACTTGTGAATCGTAAACGTAGCTTGTGAAACGTAAGCGAAACATGAAAAATATGAAGCGTTTTACGTTTACTACAGTCTTTTCGTTTACAATATATTTTTATGTTTACAATACTTACAACTTACGTTTACAATTCCTGCTTTACGGTTACGTTTAAGCAGACCTACGTTTACAATTCCTGCTTTACGGTTACGTTTAAGCAGACCCTATTTTGACGCCATAGAGAGGTCCTTCCTCAAGTTGAGGAGTTCTCTCAGTTTCACTGTGAGGGAAGATTGACAGAGGTACTGCGAGTCCAGTTGCTAAAGACAGTTGTGGTTAAGAGTGAGTAATCTATTGTGCATACCCATTTTTTTCAAATAAAAAACATTGTAAAAAAGTCAAATCTTCTCACAACCCCCAGCTAGTGTCCCGTATCCCCCATAGTGTCCCACTTTTGAAACTACTGACCTATGGTTATGAGCTTTAGGGAATGAACCAAAGGACCAGCTGGTGGATAAGCTGGTTGAAATTAGTTTCCTCCACTTAGTGGCTGAGTGAACGAAAAGGGCTCAGAGTAGAGCCAGTGCTCCTTCACGTCGGGAGGAGGTGTCTATTTGGGAGAGGATGATTTTGTACCTTCTCAGGCTGCTGCCTCCATGTATGGGCAAGAAAGACTATAGAAGCTGGAGCACTTACATAGGAGTATCCCTGCACACAGAGGATCTGGTCAAGCAGTGAGGAGAAGCAGGTGAAGGAGGCGATCCCAGCTCCCAGGCACAGCATCAGGACCAAGTAGGCTCTGTTCTGCATCAACTACATGCACACGCCCACATCGTTTGTTTGAATTAAAACTGATTCAAAAATATGTAATAATACGTTCTGGCAAAAGGAGTGTAATAAATAATTAATTAAAATAATAATAATTATATATGATCCCTTTTATAAATAATATTGTGTCTCACCAATTTGAGTCCGTCGAAGAAAGGCTCTGGGGTAAACTGAGCGCTGGGGGAGGGGGGTGTGGGAGGGGCACTGCTGCGAACCCCCACAGTGGCCAGCAGACAGCTTAGACAGGCGGGTACCGTGTAGGCCAGGGCCTGGAGGCGGAGACAGGTGAGGGGTTCAAATATAAACAATATGAAATACATCATATCTCCGGTGTGGGTTTCCTTTTCACTTGTACATAGGAGATGTGGGTGTGGGGGGCACTCACGATGGTGGGCACACTGCCGTAGTCCTGCAGCAAAGGGGACACAATGTTGGCCAGAAGCAGCCCCAGAGGATTGGCTGCACACAAGAACATGAGCATGCCCTCAGGAAACAAACCTAAAAACACCTAGAGTGACCAAACTTCTATGCTGTCAACTGTTGAGGTTGAGACAAAATTGTGTAGCCATTCCAGAAATATTTTGACCCACCTTCCAGAAAGGGTCCACATTTTTCCTTTTTTTACTTTATGCTCTTCTCTCTCCTACTTCATCTGTCATCATTATGAAATCAGTTGTAGTCTGTTCATTGCTATTGATGGGACCTCTAAATCCGGTCTCTTTCATCTGCACCTGTAAACTCCGGTCTCCCCTGGCATGGACTCAGTCCCATAGACGTCGGAACTATTTTCTGAGAGGGGGGGCGGGTTTTTGTTGGGAGAGTCGAGGGAGAGACTCATACTTGGATTACACTGGATAATAACATACCATCTTAATTGTTAAGAAAAACAAAATAAACAATATATATCAAGCAAGTCACTTATCAAACTGAACTTTTTTTTTTTCAATACGCATTCATGCGTCAGTCTCTCCGGTGGCTTCATTGTGTTGTGTAGCCCAGTGACGTGCGGTCAGATGAGGCAGGCAAGGCCCTCACCTAAGATCATAGAAAGAAAAGTAATAAAATGGATACAATAATGTTTGGTCACTTTATCAAGTGATTTGTGCTGTGCCTTATTTCATTTATTTATACCTTGAAATTGCAGATTTGACAGAGCGGTGCTGTGAGGCGAGCCTCTCTTGGGAGACGTAAAAAGCAACAGCTCACAGGGAGAGTCCTGTGAGGTGCTATCAAACTGTTTTCTCTGTTTATCACAGTTTAAAAAGTTCAAAAATATTTAATTTACAATCAACATGTTTACATTTAAGAGGATGGCTCATAAATTGTGTTTTTGAAGCAAATATGGGTCTTAATCGCGCTCAACCACAGCTTGTAAGTGAGGAAAGCCTCAAGGGGGCGCTTGTGAGCCCAAACTTTGGCTGCATCCAATTCCATCAGAAAGCTCCTTTCTTGTTCTTCTTCTGCTAAGGGCAGCTACAGGTTTGGCTAACATACCTATAATACATTTTAAGATAATTTAAAATGCACTTAGAGTAATGTTTTGCTTCCAATGATGATATGAATCATAAGAAAAGGAGGTGAAGGGTAAGGTTGAATTTAGAAATTGGATTTACCCGGGAGTCGGCTGCAGCAAAACTCGCAGTTTACGGAGGAGACACCCGTTTTTTTTACTTTTTAAAACTCATTGAACTTATTTCCAAATGGAGGATTACATGTCTGTGCTCAAACTATTATCTGGACTTAAACATGAAACTGGTCCTAACTGAAGTGGTCTGTGCTGTTCATTAATACCTAAGGTAAGGCCCATAACACACTTTGTACTTTTTACAAACGTTTGCGTTTTGTATGAGAAAACAATGCAGACATTAAATCATATTCTGCTGTAGCCAAACAAATTGTGTATAAGCCGCTCCTGTTCCTGTTGGTTTATATGATGTATAATCATATGAACACATGATTGATCCCCCACCGCACGTCACTGGTGTAGCCAGGTCTCTAATCTGCGCAAGGCTGAGAAAGAGCGCTCAGAGGCTGCGACAGATATTAGCCAGACAGAGCTTCATAAGCACCTCCGACAGCATGGAGCGGGTTTTGGGCTGCAAGGAACGCAGGATAGTGATAACTTCTCGCTCCCGGCACACGCGGAGGGGGTGCGGCTGCACCCCCCGCACCCCTAGTTCCGACGTCTATGCTCAGTCCTGCACCGCACAGTCCCAGTCCTTGTTCTACACTGGAGTCATGGATCTACAGGCTGAGTCCTGGTACTCACACATGGAGGCTAGCATGTTGGCGGTGGCACGCTGATGCTCGGGGAACCACAGTGCTGCCAGCTTGGTGGGGGTAAAGATGATGAGGGGCTGGGCCAGGCCACTCAACGTCTGCCCCAGGAGAACCAGCGGGTACCTAATGGAACTCTGGTAGCCAGGCAGGGCCGCACCCACGAAACGCACCACAGCTCCTGTCATGTTGAGCCACGAGCCCAGGATCAGCTGCATCACAGTGATGTCACACATTTACAGGGGCCTCTGCAGGGATCTTGCTACATCTACATAATAAAAATCACTCTTCACTTTAAAGTAATAAGTTGATCATCTCTCTCCCGGGTCTCTTTTGTTTGCAGAAATAGCATGAGTCCTTTACATCATGGGCCATCCCATGGACACAAATGATCACATACTGATATTATCAGTCCTTCTACATGCAAAGGTTTAGGTTTTAAAATATATATCCTTAATCAACTGCAATTTTGCACCCAAAGAAAACATTAATCCTCATTATTTTCTTTCTGCATTTATCCATTTCCTCCCTATCTACATTTGTTTCCGGTTTTATTGATTTTCTGTTTAATTATTTCAGCCTACATTATTCTTTTCTAAATTTCTTGGATCAAATACAAATGTAGTGGGTGCAGTTCAAGTCCCGGTGATCCAAGATGGCGCCCTATTCAAATGAATGAGCTTGTGCTTGAATGGACTTCACGGAGACCGAAAGATTAGCAGAACTCGCCAATATTTGTCTGGTCCTCCCGCTTCTGCGCAGTGGATGAGCTCCCATGATGCGCTGCACATGTACGCGTGTGTGGCTCTCACGCACGTGCACAGAGGGGCTCGGCCGCGCTTTGACCTATCAGAGCACTGATAGGTCAAAGCGTTTTAAAGAAAACAAAGGATTTAAGAAGAAAAAAAGTTTAGGATGACAAGAGGCACAAAAATCCCCACATAATACCACCTTAATGAAAGCTGTTGGTTCTCTGTCAGCTGAGGTCAAGCTGATTTAGTTTACATTGAGTTCTATGGGACTTTTTTCTGGGTAGCCCGCGTGAATTTTGCCTGCAGTACCACGGGCGCCCCCTGTGCCCGTGGGTGGGACAGCTATAAGCTAGTAATACCCTATCCAGTTATTATAGATCCATGGTGCAGTTAGACCAAAGCAATTGTATCATCAGAATCAGAATCAGAATTCTAGATTGTCTGGGCACGTGTGTCTTCTTGATATCATTCCTCCATTGCCCAGACTGTGAGGAGGCTTACTTACTTACTTACTTGAATTTGGACACCTCTCACCTTTCTCACCTAGCAACCAGAGGCTCAAAGCAGAGCGGTGGTTGTCAAATATGTTCCTATTAACTCTTTCTTATTGGAGTTTGCATGGCACCCAGAGATGTTTTACATTATAGACACAAAGAAAAAAACATAATAAACAGACATGTTTAAAGTAGCAATATGTAATATTTGCATATCAAAAGGCGTTATTGACTTCCGGGAATGGAGGACAAGCGAGCGGTCGCATAATTTCCCATCTCTCAGCGGGTCCAACTTCCCCACGGCCAGACCGGCTATTTTTTAAACAAAGTAATTTGACAAATATGCCAAGGGGTAGTGGAAGGAAATCCACGCGGAAGGCGCACACTCAGGGAGAGGAAACGGTCGTATCTCCGAGTGAGAGTGAGGACAGCAACGCCAGTGCTAACACGCTAGCAAGCGCGGAGGGGTTAGCCAACGACAAAGACATGGATGCTATTAGCGCTAGCATCATAGCCGAAATACAAAAAGTCCGCTCGGATGTCAACGAAGCAACGGGACAACTCAGGCAAGACCTTTTCGATTTTAGAGGGGAAATGAACAGTAGGCTCGCTACTGTTGAGACCAACGTGAAACAAATATCTGACAGGATAGGAGAAGCTGAAAGACGTGTTAGCAACATGGAGGATATCAGTGCGGATGTGAACGACGCGCTAGCACACACGCTTGAGTTGCATGATCAGCTCCAAAAACGGCTCGTTGATTTGGAGGCGCGCTCACGCCGTAATAATATTAGAATCCACGGGATTCGCGAAAGCTGAAGGAAATGACCTTTTTGGTTTCATTGAGAATTTCATTAAAACAGAGCTGGCGTTGTCAAACACATCTCTTGGCATACAGCGATGTCACCGCTCACTAGCAGCAAAGCCTCCAACAGAAGCTAATCCGAGGTCAATAGTACTGTGTTTTCTCGAGTTCAGAACCAAGGAGCTTGTACTCAAAGCAGCATGGAACAAAAAAGACATTCAATTTCAAGGAAGACGAATTTTCTTTGAGCAAGACTACACAAGTGACGCCTTGGCGAAAAGAAAAGCCTATGCACCTGTTCGGAGAGCACTAAAAGAGAAAGGTTTACGCTTCCAAACACTGCACCCTGCACGTCTTCGCGTCCACCTTCATACCGGTCCGGTGGTCTACAGTAATGCGTCTGAAGCAGCAGAAGATTTGAAGAAAAAAGGAGCGATTGACGTAGAAATCACCACTAATGTGGCAACGCCAGGGAAATCCACCGAAACAAGAATGGCAACACCACCATGGCATAAAGCTGGCGTATCACGCCATCAACGTGAGATGAGGATTACAAAAATCAAGGAAAGACTAAACCAATTTCGACGTGATGACTGCAGCGCATGAGGTACTGTCCATGCAGTGGAAATTTGTATGACCTTGTTGCCCTTTTGTTAAGTCTAGTAATCTTGACCCATATGCTGAGATGCGAGTGCTTGTTTGCCCTCCCCAATGCGAGCTGTTCTGATTGATACGGATCGGACCCTGCAGCACGCATCAAGAGTTCAGTTCAGAAGACCTCCCTCCCCACTTAGAGGTGGATATCTCACTTCGTATGTGGAAGTCATGTTTTTGTGTTTGTTCTATTTGTTCATACTGTTCTTTCAGACCATTTTGTTTATTCCCTTTTGGCCATCTGAACTATTTAAGATTGATTGCAAATGTTTCACCCACATCATAGAACAATATATCATAAAATACATTAATGAATAGACAACAATACAAATTTATAACACTCAATGTAAATGGTTTAAATAATGTAGTGAAGCGGAGTAAGGTAATAAGTAAAATGAAACGAGAAAAGCAAGATGTTATATTTTGGCAGGAAACGCATCTTTCAAACGATGAACATGGAAAACTGAAAAAATGGTTTAAACACTCTTATTATTTCTCTTTTACAAATGGAAATGCCAGGGGAGTAGCAATTCTTATTTCAAATAATGTAAATTTCCAGTTCTCCTCACAGATAACAGATTCTGAGGGACGATATATTATGTTAAAAGGTTTTATTGACCATAAAGAGGTTACATTATTAAATGTATATCGTCCACCAGGAAATAATAGACAACTGATTAAGAAGATTTTTGACATTATTTGTACAGATTCAACTGGGGTTCTTGTATGTGGTGGAGATTGGAACATTCACTTGCACCCCTCATTAGACTCCTCCACTTTAAGAAAAATGCGACCGGAAGCATTACTTGTTAATAAGCTCATTAAAGAGGTTGGTTTGAAAGATATATGGAGAGAATTACATCCAAATGAAAAAGGTTTTACTTTCTATTCCCACTCACACTCTATGTTTTCGAGATTGGATTATTTTTTTATGCTTAACAAAGACAGACATAGGGTTTATGATTGTGATATAGGGGTAAGGGACGTTTCAGATCATGCAGGAGTAAACTTGACTATACATTTAGATATTGCACGAAAGGAGACAGCGTGGAGACTTAACTCTAGTTACCTTAATGATGAAGAATTTAGAAATTATACGGAGGAGTCATTTGCAGAATATATCTATCACAATGACAAAGGAGACATTTCGCCTAGCGTGTTATGGGATGCAGCTAAGGCAGTTTTGAGAGGTAAACTAATTAGATGGTCATCTATTAAAAAGAAAGAAAGAGAAAAGATAATTGGTGATAAGGTCTTTGAACTTAAATTATTGGAGGACGAACATGTGAGGAAAAATAACGACGACAGCTTGAGTAAATTACTGTCAGCTAAACGTGACTTAAATGAGCTATATGATCATCAGATAGAGACGAAAGCTAAGTTCCTCAAACAAAATTATTACGAGAATGGACCTAGAGCCAAGAAACTACTTGCGTGGAGGACACGGAAACAACAGGCGAACCGAAACATACACAAAATAAAAAATCCAGTTACGAAAGTAATTCAACATAATTTAGAAGACATACAAAAATCTTTTGTAACTTATTATTCAAACCTTTATACCCAGCCACCAGCAGCAGACCCAACTATAGTGGAAACCTTCCTCGAATCGTTAGATCTACCCTCCATAGGTACAGAACAAAATAAAAAACTTTCACAACAAATTACAGAAGAAGAAATTCATAAGATAATATCAAATTTAAAAGGGAACAAAATGCCGGGCCCCGACGGGTTCCCGTCCGAATGGTACAGGGCCTTTTCACGGACCATTATTCCATTACTCAAATCCTGTTTTAACTATGTCCTTGAGGGAGGGGCGATACCTACATCATGGAAGCAAGCGCTTATTTCAGTCATCCCCAAGCCAGGGAAAGATGCAACGGAATGTGGCTCTTACAGACCAATTTCTATACTAAACTTAGATTACAGAATATTCGCAAAAATACTTGCAAAGCGTTTCGAGGACATCATTCCAGAATTAATAGACACTGATCAGACAGGATTCGTTAAAGGTAGACAGACACACGACAACATACGTAGGGTAATTAATCTCATAGGTCATATGCAAAACACTAAATCTGTAGCACTAAGCCTTGATGCAGAAAAGGCATTTGATTCTGTCCGTTGGGAGTTTTTATTTTTAACCTTAAAACGCTTTGGTTTCAATAGTAGTATAATTACTTGTCTGGCCTCTCTTTACAGCTCACCAAGTGCCAGAATTAAAATTAACGGAGACCTATCAAAATCAGTTACTCTGAATCGTGGCTGCCGCCAGGGCTGCCCCTTGAGTGCAAGTCTGTTTGCGCTGTACATTGAATCTCTGGCTCAAGCAATCAGACAATCAAACCAGATAAAAGGTATTGATCTGTATGATACAGAATATAAAATTTGTCTATACGCGGATGATGTCCTACTCACACTTTCTGAACCTGAAACTAGTCTGAAAGCACTTATACCCCTTCTTAATACGTTCGGTTTCTACTCCGGTTATAAATTAAATCTTCATAAAACCCAAGTTCTTACATTTGATTATAAACCAAGCAAATATCTTACAAAACATTTAAAATGTAATTGGAACAATGCATCAATCAAATACCTAGGAGTCCATATACCCAAACAACAAAACGAGATATGTAAACACAACTATGATCCATTGACGATCAGCATTAGAGCAGATCTGGACCGATGGTCATTACTCCCTATGAACATGCACGACAGAATCCAAATGATTAAGATGACTATATTGCCTAAACTACTCTATTTGTTTCTCGCGCTGCCTGTTTCGGTGTCCTCCAGGCAATTTATAGAATGGAATAGATTGATTTCTAATTTTATTTGGAATAAACAAAAGCCTAGAATAAAATATGTGACAATGCAATTGTCCAAAAGAGAGGGTGGGATGGCTTTACCGTGTCTGGAAAATTATTATAAAGCGGCTCAACTTAGAATCTTGATTGCATGGTGTGACCCATCTAATGAGGCTAAATGGAAGTTAATCGATAAAGCAGAGATCGGTGATGTCTCACTCTCCTCCATTTTAGGTGATAAAACAAGGTTAATGATACTTTTACAAACTGTATCAGATTGTATTAAGACACCACTGAATATTTGGGCTAATGTTATTAAACAAGAAGCAGTTGAAAGGGAGGCAAGAATACTGCGTTGGCCCGCTTATGACACCGAATTCATTCCCGCTGGATGTGATAGCAGATTTAGATGTTGGTGTAACGGGGGCATCACTGCATATTGGAAAATAACTACAGAATGCAATATGAAATCCTTCCAAGAACTTTCCGAAAAATTTGGACTGGAAAAAAAGGATTTTTATCGTTACCTTCAGCTGAGGCATCATTTCAATGCAAACATTAAACCTACAAGCCATGGAGGTGATGCTCTTGTTAGACTAGTCATTGATACATGTAAAGGGAAGAATGTTGGGAGGCATGTGTCTTCTGTCTACTCTGTTTTACAATCACGTAAAAAACTTTCCACAAATTACATTAAACACAAATGGGAAAAAGAAACAGGGATAGCTTTAACAGATGAGGATTGGGCAAATATATGCAACACCATCATAACAACCTCCAGCTCTGATTTATGGAGAGAGTATGCATGGAAAAGTGTTGTAAGATACTTCTCGACTCCCAGAATCAAAGAACTTCAAACCAAAAGTGCTGTTCAGGGTGTCTGTTGGAGGAAGTGTGGGAGAGTATCAGCTGGACATTTTCACATATTCTGGGAATGCCCCGTGATTGCCCCCTACTGGACAGAGATAATACAAAGCATTAAGTCGATTTCCAGGCTGCAACTGGAAGAGACTTTCCAAGTCTTCTATCTGGGCAACATACCGGTTGGACTGAGAAAAAAAGACCGCTATCTTCTCCTGATAATGCTCGTGGCAAGTAAAAAGGCGATCACTCGAAAATGGCTACAGGACAAACCACCAACAAAATCAGACTGGATTACAATCGTGACAGAAATTGGTGAAATGGAAAGACTAACGTTTTCACTGAGACACTCAATAGAGAAATTTTGGAAATATTGGGAAAAATGGAAATGCTTTATTTAATGTGTGTGTACATCTCAAGGTGTAACTGTTCAAATACTGATGGCCTGTTTGTTCTTTCTGAAAAGTAAAAATGTTTTAAAATGTTTAAATAAAAATTAAGTTTAAAAAAAAAAAAAAAAAAAAAAAAAAGGCGTTATTAAATCATGGTCTTTTCAAATACTAAAAATAACTTTAAAAATAACTTTTACAGCTTGTAAATCTTGTTATTGTTTTCATTTTCATGTCCCACCCTCCACCATATAACCAATTAGAAAGTCCGTTATCCAAGTTGCCAGAACTGACGCGTCACGCTAATCTCACAGGTAGGCATAAGTACATAGAAACATAAACAAAAGTAATAATATCTGGATAGGGCATTACTAGCTTACCCCACCCACGGGCCCAGGGGACGCCCGTGGTACTGCAGGCTAAATTCATTCATTAATTCAGAAAAAAGACCCATAGAACTCAATGTGTAATAAAGAAGCTTGACCGAGAGAACAGAGAACCTACAGCTTTCATAAAGGTCGGATTTTGTGGGGATTTTAGTGTTCCTTGTCATCGTCAACTTTTTTTCTTCTCTAGTCCTTCGGTTTTCTTTAAATCCACACTTTATTGCCACAAACTCTGCTTGTTTCCTTCCCGCTCTGGCTTCGCTCTACCGCTGCTCTGCTCAGCAGCGTTGAGAGCACGGTCGAGCCCCTCTGTGCATGTGCACGAGAGCCATACAGGCATATTTGACACAACGCATCATGGGATGCGTTCCACTGCGCAGAACCGGGAGGACCAGATGATGTCCAAATATAGGCAAGTTCCACTAATCTTTTGGTCCCCGTGAATGTCCCATGCGCTACTGAGCACAGGCCATTCATTTGAAGAGGGTGCCATCTTGGATCACCGGGGCTTGAACTAAACTCGCTAAATTAAAGCTGGTGTACCTGAATTTTCCTTTGCATTATAGTTAGTGTTGGTTGTGCACGAAGGTAAAATGTTGTAATGTTTTGGATACTAAAGAAAGAGCCGTGTGAGTCATTAATTGCCTTTTTGGCCTGAGAGCGGATTTTCTTCTACAAGAAGTAAGATGACTAGCGCCGGAGAAACAAGCTACACACAGGTTTTCATATTCCAGACTATTACTACTACTAGATGATATTTTTTCACACAATTGTTTGCAAATATTTCTGAAGTTTAGGGGGATATATTATGATATTGTTGGATATTTCAAGCTTTCAAATATTATGATTTCCCTTCATTTTCAATATCAGAAGTCACCATTTCTTAGTGTATTTTATAAAAATGTTCCATGCTCAAAGAAGCGCACCTCTTATCCCTGCATTTGAAGTAGCCTTGGCAATTCGGTTGCAAATCTGGCAACCTGTGTCAGGGAGGGAGAGTACTACAGAATACATAGTGTTCCTTTAAGTGTTTTTATTTCTTTCAAGAAGTTGTATAAGAGGCCAAACACAGACATGCCAGCCTCTGTTTCTGCTGCATATCTCTTTTAAACATGCAAGAAGCAGATCCCACTGTGTTCTAACTAAAAAACAAAAATTTAAAAAACACAAAAATATTGGTCCTAAATTTGCTGCAGTTCATATTGTAATCCACAGCAAAGTTGATATGACTGAATAGGGGTGAAGATCCCAAGAGTGTCCCTCAACCTACAGTGCACAGTCTCTAGTCTTTATTAAGTCATTATAGTATTCTCTGCTGAATAGTGCAACTGTGTGAGTGCGTGGCAACAGTACCGTGAGACGAAGGCCTAGAGTGTCCAGCATCCAGGTAGCCCCCGGGCTGATGGGCACATACACCACCATGAAGACCAGGGACAGCCAGTTCACCTGAGCCAGTGAAGTATCCAGGTAGGACGCAGTCTGGGAGGCCACCGGGGCAAAACTCAGCCATAACTGCAATACAAGCACAGCACCATCTTCCTGTTAGGGACAAGGAATATTTAACAACTATTCACACGTAAAATCACACAAGCTATTCTTTACCTGCAATTGACGTCACGTCCGCCTCATTACTTATGCGTATCACAAAGTGATGGTCAGCCGAGCTATTTGCTCACTTGAGCAGTGTGTTTGAATATGCCTTTTGCGTGCGTTGTTCTAGGTTGTTCTAAGTGATCGAATCGCGAAACCGATAAAAGATACTTAAGGGTTCATCGTGAAGAGATTAATAAAGGGCCTCGCACAAAGGACTTTACGATAAGACGCAGAGAAAAGTAGCTTGCTAACATTTCACTAGCAAACGCTTTTACATCAAAGGATAATTTATTTACCTTTATTTATTTATTTACAGACACAATGCGCAGTTATTACATCCCCATCTTTTTTTGATCAACTTTCAGGTATGAGTTGGCATTTTAGATGAACAGTGTGAATGTCTGACCTGAAAAGAACACAGCTCACATGTTGACGCATCGTTTTGTTGAGAATGACAAGTTCATACCATGGATCTATTATAATAACGGCTCATACACCAATCGTTACTTACACGGCTCTTTATGATGCAGGATTTGTCGGTCAGGACCTGTTAACTCCAAGTTCCTTAACCCACCCACAGACGAAAAAGTTGCAGGCACCTATGCTTTTCCAAGCCTTCATTTGTTTAGCAGTGCAAAAGCTTGATTGTAACACTAGATAGTTTGAGATATCCGGGAACTGAAATGGCGGGTATTTTTCTAACTCGCAAGTCAAATCATTCTTGGATAACGCAATAGGATCTATACCGTTAAACAATTTGACTTTTTTGATGTATCAATCTCGAGAATTAGAATCTAAAGTGAAGAAAAAGACAGTCTAGGATCGGGTCTTTAATTCAGACAGAAGACATGTTTTATTGTCGATGGTAGACAGCACGGACAAAGATGCTACAGAATGTAAGTGATATTATACAGCATAGGTGTCAAAGTCAAGGCCCGGGGACCAGATCCGGCCCGCGAGACCATTTCCAGTGGCCCCTGAGATGATTTTAAATTATTTTATTAAAGGTTATCCATTACTAATTTTCTCAAGAAAACAACCATAACATGTAATTCCATAAGAAATGTTTAGCCAACATGTTAGTCTTTAATATTATGTTTTTTACGAGTCTTCAATTACATTTCTTCTTAAAGATATGAAGAGGATTTCCAAATGTTCTTAGGAAAGAACCACCCTCTCCACTTTTTGAACAAATCTCTCTGGTCTTATTAGATGAGCATGAATCACCAGAATGATTGACAGTTGTGAGGACCAATCGTCTTGATGATCCGCACAGAAGTAGAAAATCTTCCTTTATACTTTCAATATTAGGTCCAGTTTTGGTTCAGTTTTGGTCCAGTCCACAGGAACTGAACTAATTCTAATCAGAAAAGAATATCCAATCTAACTAATGTGAAACAAGTCATTTATAAAGATACCTTCATATTATAAAAAAGTATAATAAGTGAAACTTTTTTCGGCCCCTGACCAGCCCTTTCATTTTTTATTCGGCCCTCAACCAAAATAAGTTTGACACCCCTGTTACTGTATACAGCATGGAGGAATGGAGACCTCTTATCAGCATTCGCCACGGTGCCAGTAGCTTCAACCTTGAGATAAACAAACCATGTAGTGGAAAAATACTGCCTTGTGCGTATTGTTCGAATGATGAGTTGGAACTTTAACCACAGTGGCTTCAAAGTGTCATGAAATATCCAAAAAAGCATGAAAATACTCGGAAGAAGAGTCACATTTTACTCGCATATCAGCAGTCATTTTTGTTGGTTGATGTGTCACGTGACTGCAAGCCAAGAATAGGTTATGTATAGTTTCCTTTCAGACGAGCCCTGGTGAGGACATATCAACACTGTGACTAGAACCAAACAGAGGAACAAGCTAATTTCTTCATGCAAGCACTGATATCAGAATCAGAATCATAACTTGTTTAAAGCAGCACATTTGGACTGACATGGCAACCCAGTGTTCTTCAAATCTGGAAAAAACACCCCAAAATGTAGTTATACTGATCCAAAAGTAATACAAATTAAAGCCGCAAGCGGCGTTGAACGGCCCTCGCCGCGTCATGATGTGCTCCCGTTGCCACAGAACAATGTTTGTAAAATTGTAATGAACATGATCAGTGGCTTCCCATGTAAAACTTTGGCTCAGTCTGTAGGGGGCGCTAACTAGCCGGTGTAATGTTTCACACCTTCAGGTGACCTAGGCCCAGAAGTAGAACAACCTAGTCAAGTTTAGTACAAATCAGACTTTGTATGTGTAAACAGGAGCACATGTCCAATCTGTGAGTGTGTCCATATATATATATATATATATATATATATATATATATATATATATATATTTCATATACATATATATATATATGAAATATAATATATATATATATTAGTGCTGTCCAACGATTAAAATATTTAATCGCGATTAATCGCATGAATTTCATAGTTAACTCGCGATTAATCGCAAATTAGTCACACATTTGCGTGCTGTGTGCAATTGCTTTTTTTATTGAAAACAATGTGTAGTGTTATATTACACACTAACATTTGATGCAAAATTATCAATAAATGGATGACAAAATAAATAATTGGTAACAAAAAGCCCCTTCAATGTGTGTGTGTGGGTGTGTGTGTGTATGTGTGGGTATAGACCATAGACTGTATAGAAACATCATGGTGTCATTATGATGATGATAAACAATCTGTAAATATTTTGTAAATTTGTTCATGTAAATACTCTATGCTGTTTCTCTGTTTACCTTCGGTATATCTATGACTGTATACTGTTTGCTTGTATTGCCTTTTTTATTAACCCCTCCCCCCATCTCCCACTTCATGTCCCCCCCCCCCCCCCCCTCCCCTCCTATGTGCCCTTCTGGGTTTCTTCTTTGGCCCCCTGTATCTCCAACTACATATTGTTTGTAATCTCTGTCTACAATGTATCTGAACTAGTCCTTTTCTTTGTTTCTATGTGTTTGTCTGCAATAAAAAGTAAAAAAAAAAAAAAAAAAAAAAAAAAAACTTTTTTTTTTTTTTTTTTTTATTGCGCGATAAAAAAAATGACGGCGTTAATATTGATTTGCGTTAACGCGTTAATAACGCGCTATTTTGGACAGCCCTAATATATATATATTTCATATATATATATATATATTTCATATATATATATCATATATATATATATATATATCATATATATATATATATCATATCTATATATATATATATATCATATATATATATATATATATATATATAAATCATATCATATATATATATATGATATATATATATATATATATCATATATATATATATATATATATATCATATATATATATATATATATGATATATATATATATGATATATATATATATGATATATATATATATATATATATATATATATATATATATATATATATATATATATATATATATATATATATATATATATATATATATATATATATATATATATATATATATATATATATATATATATATATATATATATATATATATATATATATATATATATATATAATTTGCCATATATATATATATTTGCCATTAACACAGAATGGGGAGTGTTTGACGTTGACACGTAAACAGGATAAAAAAAATAAGTCTTGGGTGTCATTGACTTTTTTAATCAAGAGGGCAAAACTGAATAATATACATTTCAAACAATTTGACAAAACTAAATGTGATTGTCCCCATGTAAAACTTTGACATAGTCTGTAGGGGGCACTAATGGGCCAATTTCAAAATTTTCACTTTCACATGACCTAGACCCTAACAATGGATTGAAGTTTTGTGCAAATCAAACTTTGTTTGTGCAAACGGGAGCAAATGTGCAATTGGCAAAAAAACTGTTTGTCAGGGGGCGTGGCCATAATAATTTTTTTTTTTTCATATCTTGAGTTGAGGAACATGGGTACCAAATGTTGTGGCTCTAGGACAAACTTGACCTCAGACCCTCTCCCATAGGCGCAATGTAAACTGACTTTTGTAGGGTGCACTGTGGTGGCATTTTTATAGTCCCATAAAAGTAAACACCAAAAATCCTAAATTTTTCGCCGGTTCTGAATTTTGGGCAAAATTTGGCATGTTTTTATGCATATTCAAGGGGGTCAAATTAAGGTTCAAAGTGCAGAATTTTTTGCCAAGTCTCCGAGCAAAAACAATATAGGTTTCAATGGCACATGATACATCATTTTAAAGTGTATGAGTTTACATACGTATGAGAAGACAGTGGAGATGATTGTAGACTTCAGGAAGAGCACTGTCCCCCCGCCCCCACCCTCCGTGATAGACTCCCCCATCACCTCTGTGGAGTCCTATCGTTTCCTGGGCACCACCATCACCCAGGACCTCAAGTGGGAGCCGACCATCAGCTCCCTCATCAAGAAGGCCCAGCAGAGGATGTACTACCTGCGGCAGCTCAGGAAAGCCAAGCTGCCTGCACAGATGTTGGTGCAGTTCTACACAGCCAACATCAAGTCCATCCTCACCTCCTCCATCACCGTGTGGTTCGCTGGAGCCACAGTCAGGGACAAACAGACCACAGCGCATTGTGCGCTCTGCAGAGGAAGTGATCGGCCGCAGCCTTCCATCGCTGCAGGACCTGTACGTCACCCGAGCTCGAGGCCGGGCTGGTCGTATCACAGCCGACCCCTCTCACCCTGCACATGGACTATTCCAACCACTCCCCTCAGGCAGGAGACTGCGGTCCATCAGGACTTGTACCTCCCGCCACAAGAACAGTTTCTTCCCCTCTGCTGTTGGACTCTTGAACACTTCTTAACCTGTCCCACCGCCCTTTATAAA